AGGGACGCATATAGCAATACAGGCCTACCTCAACAAATAAGAAAAATCTCAAATAAACAATCTAACACTACACCTAAAAGAAATAGAAAAAGATGAACAAATGAATCCCAAAGTCAGTAGAAGAAAGGAAATACAAAAAATCAGAGCAGAAATAAATGAAATAGAGACTAGAAAGACAATGGAAAGGACCAATGAAACTAAGAGCTGGTTCTTTGAAAAGATGAACAAAATTGACAAACTCTTAACTAGACTCAGTAGGAAAAAAAGAGAGAAGGCTCGAATCAATAAAATCAGAAATGAAAGAGGAGAAATTACAATGGATACCACAGAAATACAAAAATTGTAAGAGAGTACTATGAAAAATTATACATCAACAAATTGGATAACCTAGAAGAAATGAATAAATTCTTAGAATCACACAACCTCCCAAAACCGAATCAAGAAGAAACAGAGAATCTGAATAGACCAATCACAAGTAAAGAAATTGAAACAGTAATCAACTGTTCAATTTCAATCAACAAAATCAAACATCTCCCACGATCTGCTTGGTGGCCTGGGTTTGCAGGTTTGGATCCCAGCCACAGACCTGCTCCACTCATCATCCATGCTGTGGCGGTGTCCCACATACAAAACAGAGGAAGACTGGCACAGATGTTAGCTCAGGGCTAATCTTCCTCAAGCAAAAAAAGAGGAAGATTGGAAATGGATGTTAGCTCAGGGTGAATTTTCCTCACCAAAAAAAAAAGAAAAAAAAATCTCCCAAAAAACAAAAGCTGAGGATCAGACAGCTTCTCTGGTAAATTCTACCAAACACTCAAAGATTTAATTCCTATCCTTCTCACACTCTTCCAAAAAATTGAATAAGATGGGATGCTTCATAACTCATTTTATGAGGCCAACATTACCCTGATACCAAAACCAGACAAGGACAACACAAAAAAGGAAAATCATAGGCCAATATCACTGATGAACATAGATACAAAAATCCTCAACAAAATATTAGCAAATAAAATACAACAGTACATGAAAACGATCATACACAACGAACAAGTGGGATTTATTCCAGGGATACAGGGATGCAACATCTGCAAAGCAATCAATGTGATATGCCAGATTAACAAAATGAAGAATAAAAATCACATGATCCTCTCAATAGATACAAAGAAAGCACTTGACAAGATTCTACATCCATTTGTGATATAAAGTCTCAATAAAATGCATATAGAAGGAAAGTACCTCAACATAATGAAGGCCATATATGACAAACCCACAGCCAACATCATACTTAGTGGTGAAAAACTGAAAGCTATTCCTCTAAGAACAGGAACAAGACAAGGATGCCCACTCATGCCACTCTTATTCAACATAGTACTGGGAAGTGCTAGTCAGAGCAATTAGACAAGAAAAAGAAATAAAAGGGATACAAATTGGAAAGGAAGAAGTAAAATTGTCACTATTTGTAGATGACGTGATTATATATATAGAAAACTCTAAAGAATCCACCTAAAAACTATTAGAAACAATTAACAAATACAGTAAAATTTCAGGGTACAAAATCAACATACAAAAATCAGTCACATTTCTATACACTAACAACAAACTAGCAGAAAGAGAAATCAAGAATACAATCCCATTTACAATAGCAACAAAAAGATAAAATACCTAGGAATAAATTTAACCAAGGAGGTGAAAGACCTATACACTGAAAACTATAAGATATAGTTGAAAGAAATTGAAGACATAAAGAACTAGAAAGCAATCTACAGATTCAATGCAATCTCAATCAGAATCCCAATGACATTTTTCACAGAAATAGAACAAAGAATTCTAAAATTTATGTGGAAGGGCCGGCCCTGTGGCTTAGTGGTTGAGTGCACACGCTCCACTGCTGGCAGCCCGGGTTCGGATCCTGGGCGTGCACCGACGCACCGCTTCTCTGGCCATGCTGAGGCCACGTCCCACATACAGCAACTAGAAGGGTGTGCAGCTACGACATACAACTATCTACTGGGGCTTTGGGGGGAAAAATAAATAAATAAAATTATTTAAAAAAAAATTTATGTGGAACAACAAAAGATCCTGAATTGCCAAAGCAATACTGAGAAAAAAGAACGAAGCTAGAGATACCATACTCCCTGATTTTAAAGTATACTACAAGGTTATAGTAATCAAAACAGCCCAGTACTGGCAGAAAAACAGACACAAAGATCAATGGAACAGAATTGAGAGCACAAAAAAACCCACACATCTATGGACAGCTAATTTTCAACAAAGGAGCCAAGAACATACAATGAAGAAAGGAAAGTCTCTTCAATAAATGATGTTGGGAAAACTGGACAGCCACTTTCAAAAGAATGAAAGTAGACCATTATCTTACACCATACACAAAAATTAACTCAAAATGGATTAAAGGCTTGAATGTAAGGCTTGAAACCATAAAACTCCTAGAAGAAAATATAGGCGTTCACTCTTTGACATCAGTCTTAGCAACATCTTTTTGAATATAATGTCTCCTCAGGTAAGGGAAACAAAAGAAAAAATAAACGGGACTACCTCAAACTAAAAAGCTTCTGTAAAGCAAAGGAAACCATCAACAAAATGAAAAGACAACCCACCAAGTGGGAGAAAATATTTGCAAATCATATATTTGACAAGTGGTTAATTTCAAAAATATATGAAGAACTCATACAACTCAACAAAAAAAACAAAAAACCTGATTGAAAAATGGGCAGAGGATATGAACAGACATTTTTCCAAAGAAGATATACAGATGGCCAACAGGCACATAAAAAGATGTTCAACATCACTGATTATGAATGGCTGTTATTAAAAAGACAAGAAATAAGTGTTGGAGAAGATGTGGAGAAAAAGGAACCCTAGTACACTGCTTGCGGGAATGTAAAATTGGTGCAGCCACTATGGATAACAGTATGGAAACTTCTCAAATAATTAAAAATAGAAATAACATATGATTCAGGTATTCCACTTCTGGGTATTTATCCAAAGAATACAAAAATATTAATTCATAAAGATATATGCACCCCTATGTTCACTGCAGCATTACTGACAATAGCCAAGACTTGGAAGCAACCTAAATGCCCATCAAGAGATGAATAGATAAAGAAGATGTGGTATATATATACAATAGAATACTACTCAGCCATAAAAAAGATGAAATCTTGCCATTTGCAACAACATGGGGAGACTTTGAGGGTATTATGCTAAGTGAAATAAGTCAGACGGAGAAAGACAATTACTGTATGACTTCACTCATATGTGGAAGATGAACAAACATATAGGTATGAAGAACAGACTGGTGGTTACCAGAGGAGGAGGGGGTAGGGGGAGGGCAAAAGGGGTCAAGGGGCACATGTGTATGGTGACAGATGGCAACTAGACTTTTGGTGGTGAACACGATGCAGTCTATACAGAAGTTGAAATTTAATAATGTACACCTTAAATTTATATAATGATATAAATCAATGTGACCTCAATTAAAAAAAAGAAATTGAAAATACAACCCACAGAAAGGGAGAAAATATTTGCAAATCATGTATCTGATAGGGAACTTGTACTTAGAATATATAAACAACTCTTAAAACTTAACAATAAAAAGACAACACAACTTAAAAATGGGCAAAGGATTTGGACAAACATTTCTCCAAAGAAGATATACAAATGGCCAATTAGCAAATGAAAAGATGCTCAACATCATTAGTCATTAGGTAAAGGCAAAGCAGAACTATATTAAGATACCACTTCACACTCACTATGATGGCTATAATCAAAAAGATGGGTGATATCTAGTGTTGGCAAGGATATGGAGAAGTTGGAACCTTTATAAATTGCTGGTGGGAATGTAAAATGATGCAGCCACTTTAGTCAAGTTTGGCAGTTCTTCAAAAAGCTAAAGATAGAGTTATCTTATGGGTTATCATACACTCAGCAATTTCACTAGGTATATATCTAAGAGAATTGAAACATATGTCCACACAAAATGTGTACACAAATATTCATAACAGTATTATTCATAATAACCAAAAAGTAGAAACAACCCAAATGTTCATCAACTGATGTATGGATAAACAAAATGTGGTATATCCCTACAGTGGAATATTATTCAGCCATAAAAAGGACTAAGATACTGATAAATGCTACAACATGGATGAACCTTGAAAACATTACGCTGTGAAAGAAATCACATCAAAAGACCACATATTGTATCATTACATTTAGATAAAACGTCAAAAATAGGCATATCCATAAAGACAGAAAATAGACTAGTGGTTGCCAAAGGTTGGAGGAAGGGGGAAGTAAGTGACTGCGGACTGACTGACTGACTGTTATGGGTATGAAGTTTATTTTGGGGGTGATGAAAATGTTCTGAAATTAAATACTGGTGATGTTTGTACAACTTTGCAACTATGATTTTTAAAACCCACTGAACTGTCATTTTCAAAGGTGAACTTTTAAATGGCATGTGAATTATATCTTAATAAAGATGTAATTGGTGAAATGTGAAAATTGTTGAAACAAATATGGTGAAAATGAGTGTTTGAAAAAGAATTAAAAAGGTAAGAATTAGTGAGATTATTTTTTAAAATAAGAGTTTTACTCTCTTTTCCTACATGAGCAATGACGTTTTGAGGGGGGAAAACTCTGTTTCTTTGAATACCATTTATGGTACAAACTGCAAGAGGAAATCAGGGACCAGCAAAAATGTTTCTTCTCATGCCTTTTTTTTTCATTGACCAATTCCTTCCCTCCTTCCTTCTTTCCCTTACTTCCCTCCTTCCTTCCTTCCTTTCTTTTTCCCTCCCTTCCTCTCTCTCTCCCTTCCTTCTTCAATAAGAGGACAAATTTTTTGTGTATCCATAACACACACCTACTATATCTTTGAGCTTTGAGTCTACTTTCAAGTCCACAGATATCTCTTTAAAATGAAAAAAGAGGGGGATATCTTTTAATGAAAGTATATAAGAATATCACATGACACTTACCTATGGTAGCTAATATCCATTTTGTCGTATCAGATTTAATTATACCATCTGCATTTTGAGCTTCCACTTGAATGGTGTAAATGTCTGGTATTGTTATTGTTGGAGGATAGAAAGAGCATGAGGTACGATTTGTACTTGTAGAATTACCAGTAGTACAATGATCACTTTTACGTCCATAACAGCTTTGAAGGAAAAAGTGATACAATGTGAGTTTAGTACAGCAGTTTGGAAACATAGCCATACTTAATATATTAAACATGCATTTGTCAGTTTCACTCTGGGTTTCTCTTGAAAACTATGTAATTCAGAATTTGGTGCCCCTCTCTCCAAATTCCTTCCTCACCTCCTAAGAGAAAGAAAAATTACCTGCTTCCTGCCTACCTGAGATGCTATGAACCATGAAGACCTCCTTGGAACCCTGAGTCCATCAAAAGCTCATAATGCATTTCCTATTGATAAGAAATGATGAATAGACCCCCAAAAATCCAAGATTCTAGCCTTGAGAACTTATTCTTAAAAGAAAAAATAAAATCAAAGAGGATTTGTTAAATAAATTACGGTAAATACATAAATAAAATTTAAAATGATAGTTTTTAATACATGTGTATTTATTGATATGGAAAGATACTCACTCAATTGTTGGTGTAAAAAAGCAGGATACATATTATGTACAGAATGCTCACATTTACATAAACTTATATATTTACATAACTATTCTTAGAGATGTCTGGAAAGATCTTCATCAAAATGTTAACGTTGTTACCTTTGGTGGTAGGATTTTGGGTGATTTTTTTACATTCTTTATATTTTTCAGATTGAATTTTTTGCCATTGGTATATATTGTTTTCAGAAAACTCATTAAAGTTATTTTCCTAGATAGATAGATAATTTAAACCCTACCAAGCTGTAACTTAAGGAAAATAAGTACACATATTGGTAGGAATCAGGTGGGTAGGTATAGCTATAGTCCACATGGCTCTGGGGATTATGTAGGAGATGGAGTAGGCTGAGAACTGAAAAGGAGGCCCATCTTGCAAGGTCCCAGTGTTCGCTGGGTCAGTGGGTGAGGGAGCAGAGCTTGGACATATAAAATCATGAGATTTTGAAAGTAGAAAGGACCTCAAGGGTTTTCTATGGTTATTGTGCAGTGCAGAAACGGCCTCCAGGGTAATGTTATGTCGTGGTTACAAGCACAGACTCTAGAAGCAGACCAGGTTTGAATCCTGGCTTTGCCCCTATTAACCCTGTGCCTTGGGCAAATTTCTTAACCTCTTTGTGCCTTAGTTTTCTCATATCTAAAATGAGAATAGTAATATACCTATAGCATAGGGATGTTATAAGGATGAAATGAGCGAATACACATAAAGTACTTTTAAAATGTCAGGCACATAGTCTAAATGTAGGATATTATTGTTGTTATTAGTACTATTACTATAGTTGAATATTTTTGCATTTATTCATGCTGTAACCTTTGAGAAATATCCCTTCACCCCTTTTCTGAACCTCTAGGGCTCTTTCAAGTTTCAGTTCAAAAACCACTACCTTCATGAAGGCATTCAAACTCCTCTTTTTCTTCCCTAAGGAAAAATCAATCCCTATTGTTTCTGGGCATAAGTAGGTTTTTTTGTTCATACCACTGATCCACCGTAATCTACCCTCAGAGTTGACTATCCACGAGGAAATCCTTCCATTCCGCCTGGAAGAGATATTCTCAGTGATAAATTCACAAAAATACAAGTCAGTCTGGGAGACCTGGAGAGCCTAGCAGGCCTGGGGTTATCAAAAGGGGCTGTGCATAGGCCTGAGGACACCCAGGGTTTTCCTGCTTTTCTACATGACCAGCTGGTGATAATAATGACAATCCATAGGCAGCATTGGAAGGGAGGTGGGGGGTGAGAATGACTCTTTAAAACAGAAAAATAGGAGTAAATCTATTAAGGGTTCCAGATTTTCATTCTACTGGTACTTCCTGTTCAACATTGGACTTAAAACCAATAAGTCTGGGAGAAGATAAGTCATTTGGACCATGGATTATTGGGCTTTCGTCATCCTTATTTTCTAAAGGAGAGGTTGGCAAACTATAGCCTGCAAGTCAGATACAGCCCACCTCCTGTTCCTGTATGGCCCACAGGTTAAGAAGAGGTTTTACACTGTTAAGCAGTTGGGGGGAAAACTTAAAAGAAGAAGAATAGTTTGTGGCATGTGAAAATTATATGAAATTCAAATTTCAGTATCCATAAATAAGGTTTTATTGGGAAACAGTCAGGTCCACTGATACACATACTGTCTATAGCAGCTTTCCTGCTACAGCAGTAGTGTTGAGTAATTTGACAGAAACCCATCTCTCTCTAAGTCTAAAATATTTACTACCTGCCTCTTTACAGAAGACGTTTGCTGACCTCTGTTTTAAATCATACTCATTAATATACCAGTACTGCAAAGAACATCGTTTACTTTTTTCCGTTTCTTCTACTGTAAAACATGACGTGGTCTTCCCTTATAACACCAGTTACCAATTTCCGAGGAGTGGAAAAAAAAAAAAAACAGGAATATATACGAGATCTTGTATTCAAAAACAAAACAAAACAAAAACTTGGAACTAAAGACTCTCGTTTTGAAATGGAGAAGACTTCAAGATCATCTTTCAATAGTTCCCAGCATTGGCCTCCTTATTCCTAGGGGAACGTGAGGGACATTTCATGAGCTATTTTAAAAATTTCAAAAAATCCCTCACTAAAACATCTAGCTTTTGGCTAGAATTACAATAAAAAATTTATAATTAGATGATAATAGAATTAGAATAAAAAGGGATGCTTGAGGTAGTGAAAAACTGGGCATCACTCTCCTGGTAGAATATTGTTTGACAGGCGTCACACGGCAAATTAGTGGCAGACTGAGGTAAATCTGCCTCTTAGTTCTGAGTCTATAACCCTATTCACTATATATAAATCCATGAAGAATGGACAGTTTTATAACACATTCTGGAAAGAGGAGGAATATAGTTGAATATAATAAATAAACAGATTTTGCGGGGGGGGAGGTGAGGAAGATTTGCACTGAGCTAACATCTATTGTCAACCTTCCTCTTTTTTTGCTTGAGGAAGATTAGCCCTGAGCTAACATCTGTGCCAATCTTCTTCTATTTTGTATGTGGGTTGCCGCCTCAGCATGGCCAACGAGTGGTGTAGGTCCATGCCTGGGATCCAAACCCTCAAACCTGGGCCACCGAAGTGGAGCATGCCAAAGTTAACCATTACGCCAGGGGGTCGGCCCGATAAACAGATTTTTCCACTGTGCTTATCACTGATGACTACTCTCAGCCAATCTGGCAGCTCTAGGAGGAGGTCAATATGCAGCTATACTCCCCCTCCCTCTGCAGCTGCAGATCCTGTCAGTTTGGCTGCAAGTAGCCAAGATGTCACCCCAACCACTGGATGCATAATGTGGTCACCCATAAGCTGTAATTGAGAAAACATTTTACTTCGTAAGTGACTTGAACCATGAATGAGCCAGGAGCCTCTGCCTCCCCTCTTACTCCCATTGAGAGCACACAAGCTTCTGTACTTACTAAGTTCTCTTAACTATGTACCATGTATCATTGGCTTCTTTCTCTGGACTCCAGGTGCAAGTAAAATTTTTCTTATAGTAGAAGATGCAAGAAATGTTCTCAGGCTTAGCTGGCAGAACTAAAATAAAACACATACACACAATAACTTCAGTACATGATAAATACTGCCAGCATTGGATATTTTGATGAAAACAAGATGATCAAAAGCTGGATTTGTTGGTTAGTTGCTAGGTATAATAGATTCTTTCCATCGCCCTGATTAGGAGAACCTAACACCATCTCTTCAATTATTCCCTTTGAAGAGCTAGATTTCTCATTTTTACATTCTTACTCAAAAGCAATACTTGAGAAGCAAAAATTATATCAAAACACCGGGCAAATATAAAGTGTCAGTGAAATACTAAGTAAAGCATCAAATGATAAAACCACTCTGGATAACTGGGTAATGGATGATGTGGGGAGAAGAGAAAAATACAAAATGTTGAACTATGCCACACTTCGACCTTATGGATCAATAATTCTTTCCCAGAAGAGTGTCTAAAAGAGAAAATTTCTGAAATATCTTCAGCTGTATTTTCGTATCTTATAAATCTTTCTTCTTGTAGTTCCCCACCAAATAACATCCATCCCTTCATACAGAGAGCAGATACTACCATCCATAACAGGGATCTAGACCCTCAAGGAGTCCAGAGATAGAATTAAGGGGTGCATGAAATTAAATAGGAAAATTTTTTCTTCTTTATTTTTCACTAATCTATCGTTGAAATTTACAAATTCCTTCCATCATGAATCTGGTCAGAAACCTACAGTAACATCACTACTTGTGACTTTGTCACCATTAAAAGTCACAGTTGGGGCCGGCCCAGTGGCGCAAGCGGTTAAGTGTGCACGCTCCGCTGCGGCAGCCTGGGGTTTGCCGGTTCGGATCCCGGGGGCACACCGACGCACTGCTTGGCAAGCCATGCTGTGGTGGCGTCCCATATAAAGTGGAGGAAAATGGGCACAGATGTTAGCCCAGGGCCAGTCTTCCTCAGCAAAAAAAAAAAAAAAAAGAGGAGGACTGGCAGATGTTAGCACAAGGCAATCTCCTCACAAAAAAAATAAAATAAAATAAAAGTCACAGTTATTTTTATATTATATTTCAGTTGTTGCAGATACCTTGAAATATCAAATACTATTGTCACTATTACTAAATTAAGGTAATTATGAGGTCTTCTTATTTAATGTGTTAACAGAGAAGCATATATATTACTATGTCACAAATTTGTTTAATATTTTGATGATATCATTTTAATGTATTTGGGTCCCTTTGTAATCCTCTGTACCTTATTTACGCATTTACAAATATTATTTTGAGAAGTGGTCCACAGGCTTCACCAGATGACCAAGGGGTTCGCCATACTCACACACACATGCACACATACACACAACAAAGAACTAAGGGCAATTTTAAACTAAGGGCAATGTTCAGCTCTGAGGCTCATACTAACTTCTTTTTGAGGCTTTGGTAAAACCATAGACTGAAGAAGCAGGCATTTTTGAGAGAGGAAGGCAACTTGTTAAGTTACCTTTATATATCAAAGCAAAGCTCTAGTGCTTCTAGGAAGGAAGACCCTACCAGACAAGAAGTAAGAAAAAGTCCATCGCTTCTGGCAAGTAAAATATTGGGTGGAGGAGGAGGCAGGCAATGAAAATAAGGTAGAGCAAAGGGCTCAGATGTCAGTGTTCTTGGTGGAGCAGTACAAACACACAGATGGGTCTGATGAACCAAGGTCATCTGGGCTGGTGGCCTATTTCACCAGGCACAGCCTGGGGGAGGTTATAAGCCTGTAGCATAGAAGAAGCCTCATGTTCCACACAGCACCAACTCCAGCATGGCACAGAAGTCCTAGCACTGCACTGGCAGAGGGCGGGTGGGGGCAGCTCTTCAGGTAAGCTCTATACAGGTGAGTGTAGCATGCAGAGATCCAGAAGTTTGCTGTGTCTCAAGGTGGATGGTAGGGCATGGGTATAGATGTATGGCGCTGGTCCAGGCCTGGGATTTGGATAAAGAGGCTTCTGTGCACAGAGGGACTTCAGAACCATAGGCAAACAACTGGGGCCTGAACTTCAGGAGTAGGCGCCAGTATGATGCCCCAAAGCCCTGACAAAGCTGGCTGTCCTGCAGTAGGTAGCACAGGAGGGATCAGACCACAGCAGACAGTCCAGAGAAGACCAGAGGACAACACAAGGACTTGCTCACGTGGATTCAGGAACCTTTGCCCAAGACTCGCAAGTCACATAAAGCCTCCTTGTATACCCAGACACCATCTTGAGGAGGAGTGGGGGAAAGGCAGGAACTCTGGCACAGTGAACATTTACTCCAGAGAGATTGAATTAGCTGAAAAACACTAAACCAGAAGAAACTGAGACGATGTTAATAAATGTTAAGTGCTACCCATCCCTCCCTCTCCTCAGCCCTGCCTGGCTTTCCAGGGGAAAGGGGACTTTTGAAATGGATTAACTTGATCATAGAAAATAAAGATGTTATAATTTTCTCTGCACATCTAACTGTATATATTTCAACTCTGTCAGAGGTATTACTTTCTAACAGGAAGGCAGTAGTAAAGGGTGCCAGAATGGATAGCATTCATTGTTTTGTTTAGGTTTGAGATTTTTGGATTTGTATATACATTCACATATTTGGTCTATGAAACGAGCATTGTCCACATGGGTAAAGCAGCCCCTGGGAATGACGAGTAAGAGTGAGGGAGAGCTACGTGCCTCCATGTTGTGCCAACATTTCCATCTCTTTCCTGAGAGGCTGCCTTCCTCTGAGTCCTGCACGTGAACCTGATCCCTGCAGCTGAACCATCAGTCCAAGACTTTCTATCTTTGCTACTTGCATGCTGAAAACGATAACAAAGCTGGTGATCTCCAAGTCCAAATGCTTAAAAAGACCAAAGTTAACTGAACTCAAACCAAATAATACTGCATATGACGTGAAGATTAGAAGCTAGACTAGTATCACATTCCTCAAAGAGCCCACACAGCTTGAAACTCTTCCTGAGGATTCCTTGGGTCAGCAAGCAGAATATTAATGATTCCACACTTCATAACTGCCAGTGGGAACATGCAAAATCCTACAAGAGGTTGAACCAAGGGTCAGCCAACAATGTCCTTAGAGGAATGATTTTCACACTGACCGACTCACTCCCTGTTTCCATGGCTCAGAGATAATGGCTGTGTTTGTACGTGAGTGTGTGTGCGTGTGTGTGTACATGTGGGTCTGTCTTTAGTCCTTCCGTCAAGTTTCTTACAAATAGTCATCCAATGTTAGCCTGCCCCCCAATCTCCATTTCACTAACACCCGTCACACTAGTTCAGCAGGATTTCAAAGGTGATCCTTTGCTGGAGAATAAGGAAACAAAAAGTCTTTTTCTGTCTCTCCAGAATATTCTTTGGTCTTGTACTATTCTCATTATGGCCTCATACACCCATATATTTTTATTTCCTTCTTCATTCTCACTCTACCTTATGTCGGCTGAATCCAAAGCCAGCCACCAAAAAACCGAGATATGAATAGATCCTCATGGATCCAAATATACCACCCCCCTAAACCTTAGTGAACCCTGGTCTTACTTATTTTTCCTTGAATACCTCTCCTTAGCTCCTTCAAAAGCTTTGATTAACTTATATAAAAGCCGTAAGCTAGAAAGGGAGTCAAACACCTGGTTTCCAGAACCATTAGTGTCAGTAGGTATCAGGAGAAGAGAAGGTGGTTCTAAAAACGATTTTCCACTCCCCCTGAGTTACATTTGTTTTGCCCTTACTGCTTGGCACATGGCAAGAAAAAGCAATATTCTTACAGAGGCCACTTAATATTGGTATAGAGGAGGAAAAAAATTCTCTTTCCTTCTACCTTCCTAGGTTCTCCAGTTGGGGCCCTGTAAAATTAGACTAGCAAAAGACAGATTAATAAGAGAAAACCGGTATATCAATGCATGCAGTGCACATCACGCAAAAGAAACCTCAATGAAGAATAACTCAAAGGGGTGCTTAGAACTTGGGCTTATATAGCATCTTCAAAAAAAATCAATAAATTTGTAGAGAAGTGACAAGACAAAAGAAAAGGAATTTAGGTTTTCAAGGGTGGCAAACCATGGAAAGGTAAATATATGTGAGAAACTAATGGAGCAAGGTTTGTGTGTGCAGGTCCATCTTGGCTGACTTTCCGTCATCTTCATGGCCATAAAACTTCCCCAGGAGAGGAGATTTATGGCAGTCCTCATTTTTCAGAAGTTTCTGCTTTTAGTCAGATAAAGGAAGCTCCAAGAAGGCTTCATTTCTGCATCTACTGATTCTCATTTGCCTCTAGATCAAAATAATCCTTATGCCAAAGTGGCATATTTTGGAGTGGCATATTCTGATCGCCTACACTGGTATTACAGAAGAGATTTGTGATAAATAAAATGAATGCTCAGCAATATTTCCAGCGCTCATTAACCTCTCCCCTTCCTGGACACATAAGAAGAATTTATTTCCTTGCCCCCTTGAAACTAGGCATGGCCGTGTAACTTGCTTTGGCCATTGACATGAGAGGAGCAGTTAAGCGCTAGTGCATGATTCTCCTTTCTCTCCTCCCTCTGCCCCTGCATACGATGAAAATCGATGCTGAGATGGTGGTGTTTTAGGATGATAGAGCCGCCATCAGCCTGGGTCCCTGCTTATTGGTGATGGACATGTAGAGCTTGTTGTTTTAAACACTAAGATTTGGGGCTTGTTTACTTTGCAGCATAAACAATGTTCCCTGACTAATGTAAAAAATAGATGGCCTGCTCTGAAAATCCAGGATTGTAAGACTTGGAAGAGGAATTCATTTTAACAGTTTTCCCTCTTCTCCTGTGCCCTCATAACATTCTAATTCTGCATATGTATCTCAGGTCAGTTTCGATTTGTTTTATCACAAATTAGGGGGCTGGGGGGAACTGGAATAAAAAAGATCCAAATCAACAAACAATTTTAGGCTCTACTTTAACTTTCTTGCTTTACTTTTGGTTATCATTTCCAGCCTCAGTTATCTGGTGTGACCCACACATCTGAAATGCCTTGACTTTATATAACAGAACTGCCACGGCTGGCAGAGCTTACACATTTTTTGTCCAGCCTTTCAACTTGCTGGCAACCAGTGTGCCTATTTTAAGTCTTATTTGACTTATTTCTAATTAGAATATCAACTCTTCATTGGAAGGAAATTGTGATAGAGCAGTGAAGGGCACTTCAGCTCTGTTACATTTTTTACAAAAACCCAAGAGTACTGGCCAGTACTCCTCAAGACTGTCAAGATCATGAGAAATAAGGAAAGACTAAGAAACTGTCACAGACCAGAAGAGACTAGGAAGATATAAGAATTCAATGCAATATAGTACCCTGAATTAGATTCTGGAACAGAAAGAGAACATTAATGGAAAAACTAATGAAATCCAAATAAAGTCTGGAATTTAGTCAATAGTAATGTGCCAATATCAGTTTCTTAGTTTTGGTAAATGTACTATGGTATTATAAGATATTAACAATGGGGGAAACTGGATGAGGGATATACAAGAACTCTCTGTACTATCTTAATTTTTCTGAAAATCTAAAATTATTCAAAAACGAAATTTTTATTTTTAAAAAATGGACAACTGAAGGCTAGATTTGCCACTTGCACACATCTATCCTCCCACATTTTCAAAAAAATACATAGCTATATTCCTACGTCTCTAGAAATAACTATTTCCCCTATTTTTAGAAATAAGAGGAAATACTAATAAACTTCCTCTAAGAAAGACTGGGAGAATGTTCTTGCCTATCAGAGAACTTCCCACATGCAAGAGGAGCATTTTTCAAGATTAAAAAGATGTTCTCAATATCCCTTCTTCCCTCTATGCTCATATCACTTTGGTGTTGTTGCAAAGTTAGCATTGTGAAAAATGTCTTGAAATAGAAGAAGGGCATGACTGAGTAAAGACCAAGGGAAGGATAGTGTAAAAGAGAAGCAGGCTGGTAACTGGAGCCAGTTATGCAGGAGATGATGTAAGTAAAAGGTGGTAAGAGGAGAAGAAGACAGAGATGAAAGAAAGGAAAAGACAAGTTGAGTGGAAGGTGTCACGATGCACATAATTAGGACTTTAAATTGGATAATTGGGAAAATTGTTGATTTCTGAGCTGGCCAGGAGAGGCTAAAGGAGATGGGGAGACCTACCTACCTGTATTGTCTATAAAGTTCCTGGGTGCCACAGGTGTAACCTGAGGGAGCTGCAAGGCAGGCCAGGCCAGGACAGAGCTCTGGAAGACATTCTCATTATCTCTGGGTCACAACTGCCCTCTTGGTGACCCCCGATGACTATATGTTATGGGCTGAATTATGTCCTCCCCCAAATTCATATGTTGAAGATCTAATCCCCAGCACCTCAGAAGGTGACTGTACTTGGAGATAGGGCCTTTAAGGAGGTATTAGTTAAAATGAGGTCATCAGGGTGGGCCTTAATCCAATCTGACTGGTGTCCTTATAAGAAGAAGAGATTAGGACACACAGAGGGATGACTATATGAAGAGGCAGCAAGAGAAAGGCCATCTTTGAGCCAAGGAGAGAGGTGTCAGAGGAAATCAACCCTGTGGGCACCCTGATCCTGAACTTCTAGCCTCCAGAACTATGAGAAAATAAATTTCTGTTGTTTAAGTGCCCAGTCTGTGGTGTTTTGTTATGGCAGGCCTAGCAAACTAGTACACTACATGATGCCTTCTTTACCTTCCCATGCCCATTTCCCACTTTTTCCTCTTTGGTTTAAATTTTTTTTTCTTTAATGTAAGATGTGATCAAACTAATGAGTCTTAGATATGCAAGGTACTGTATGGATATTAGGCCCATAGTCTTGAGTTGGACTATTGTAGAAATACGTTGTTTCATCATTTTCCTTTATATCCTTGGAATTTATTGCAAATAGCATGAAAATTATACATTTTTGTTCTTATGTGTGTCTTATGTGTGTGTTTTATATGAAACCACTGCACTTAACACAAAAATTATTGAGATAAACACTTACCATTACTCTAAAACAGCAGATCTTGACCTTTTGGGGGGTCATATCTCCTTCTGACAATATGATAGGCCATCTTGCTAAATTTGCACATGCATAAGTATACATCAACATGCACACACCCACCATGCACATAAATTCAGGGAATTCACAAATCCTCTGTTGCCCATCCACGTGTGCCCATGTCCAGGTGTCCCTTTGCTCTCAAGTTAACAACTCTTGTCCAAAGAAGGCAATAAGAATCACATACTTCACGAAAGGGCACAGGCTGACCTACCCGCCAGACTGATTTTGCACAGCAGAAGCAGCATCCACAGTGCCCAGGCCCCCATTGTCCTCAAGTTAACGCAGGCAGGCTGGGGAGAGAGCAAAACACGTCATCATCAGTCAAAAGCTACTGTTCTCCCTGTCCCTTTTCAACAACTCTATTTCCAGTGATAAACAGATTCAGGGGATTTTGAGGAAATGTATTTTTTTTCTTTTTTTATTTTATAGATTTTATTTTATTTATTTTATTACATTATTATTTTTTTTTTGGCAATCATCACATAGATCCCTTCATGATTACTCTACCAATCCTAGTCAACATTTTATTTTGTCCACAATTCATTTTACTACGTAATATGAAAAGTATACCAGCCACCAAGAATAGACTCCCGAAAAAAAGTACTGTCCTCCAGCCTCTGCCTCAGTTCCTGAACATTCCTGCCAAATGAAACAGTTCATAATTTCCCAAAAGCACCATGCTATTTCACATCCCCACGCTTTGTCCATGTGGTTCCTTCTGCGTAGAATGTCCTTTCCCCCTTGTTCCTGGCAAATTAATCCATCCTTCTAGACGCATCTCAAGGCTAACCTTCTCTAAACACCCTCCCTGAACTCTCAGGTGGAGTTGGCCAGCCAGTCCCTCCCGGTGCCCCACCTACCCTCCATGCCATCTGTACTGTAGGGCATGTCACACAGCATGGCATTTAGCAATTTACCTATTGGCTTCTCTACATACAGGGAGCTTCTGAAGAGTAGAGCTTCTCTTACTCCTCTTTGAAGCCTTTAAGTATTTAAAGTATTTAAGACAGTACATGGTAGACATTCACTACTGTTTGTGGAATTAATTAGAACAAAAAGACTGCTGGTTGGGCCGGCCCCGTGGCTTAGCGGTTAAGTGCGCGCCCTCCGCTGCTGGCGGCCCGGGTTTGGATCCCAGGCGAGCACCGACACACTGCTTCTCCGGCCATGCTGAGGCCGCGTCCCACATACAGCAACTAGAAGGATGTGCAACTATGACATACAACTATCTACTGGGGCTTTGGGGGAAAAATAAATAAATAAAATCTTTAAAAAAAAAAAAGACTGCTGGCTCCTCATCTTATCCCAGACAAGGTGGTGGGATAGTCTAGGATAAAGCAAATGTAAAAGCAATACCTCACTTTCAGGAAGAAATAAATGATGCTGCATTTTTGTCTGACAGATCATTATAGGGGGAAAAAAAAGAAGAGTTCTCAACAAAATAAATCATTTGAGAAAAATTCACATGCAGCATTTTTGGAGAAAACCACAAGGATAAAATTTTCTCAAATACAAACCAACTGAAACACTTAACTAACTGAAAACACCTAAGGCAATGAAGCAGAATGAGAGTTGGATCTATAATAATAAAAATACCATCATGGAACAATAAGAGGCTGGTTACATAACAGCAATACTTAATGCCTGTTACTCAACAGCAGTAGCTAGTCTCTCAAGAAATAACCGTCTTGATTTAAATCAATACAAAACTTAAAAATTTTTAATTTTTCAATGAATAAATGCATTCTTTAAAAATTAATCATAACTAACAGCATTTCTTAATGTCTAATTATTCAAAATGTTGTCTTAATTTTCTCCATCTCTTAACCAGAAGACATGCCTTTACATGTCCTTAAAGCATAGTGGAAAGGGAAGGAGCCCAACCATGAAGACTCTATAAAAGCTATAATGCTGACAGTCTCCTAATTGAATAAATGAATAATTATAGATGCTAAAGCTAAAATTGCTATTCTGACATGGGGTTTTGCATTTCTTAAATCTTATCAATATTAAATGTTGAATAAAATATTAATACATAAAATAGTTTTTAATTAATGGTAATTATTGCTTGACTCCTTTACAATGAGAATACTCGCCTATTATTCGTGAAATAAAAAAAAAAAAACCCTTAAAAAAATCAATAGTACTAAGTTATAGCCAGAGATAAAACTGGAAAAGTTGCAGTAGTTGAAGAGCATGGCATTCTAGAAGTTCAGACTGCCTGAGTTCTAGCCCTGGCACTCTCACGAATTAGCTGGTGACCTCAGGCATGCTCTTATTCATTCAGCACTGTCCCAGACACATATTAGGTACTTGGAATAAAAGGAGAGCCTGTCCCTGACTTCACTCTGGTTCAGTGGTTTTTAACAAAGAGACAGGAGTCAGAGGACAGAGAGGATGGCAAATTCCAGAGTGAGCTACTGTTACTGATGGCTCTGTCATACCCCTCAAGTGGGTTTGAGAAGAAAAAAGGATTGAGAACCACTGATCTACTTGCAGAGACAAGCTTGGACAGTAATCACAAATATCACATGGTCAGTGCTGTAATTATAATAGTGCAAGGAGAGCACAGAGCATCTAAGGAGAGGAATGAGCTAATGACTGTGGAAAGCCAACAAGCATTGTTATTACGACAATGCCCTCATTCTAACTCTCGCCTATCCTCCAGTGCCTTTTCCACTTTCCCTCACACACCAGAGGACCACCACAAAGTGATGGCTTGTTAGTAGTAAATGCGAACAAATGTGAGGTGCCTCCCAGGAATTTAGAAATAAGTTCAATTGAGAGTTCAACTAGCAAAATCTGTGTGCAAAGGTGATCCTAGTTATCTGTGGGAGTAAATGAAGAACGCATGGGTAAATGGTCAATTGAAGAGCTTGAGTTCACTCCAAACTCCAGCCAAGGAAACCTGGGTGTAATCTCAGAGAGTTGGATCTGGAAAATCATCATTATCATTTAGTTATGATAGCAGGAACCTATTTGACTAACTGTATCCTAGATGGAAGGAGACTTTGAGAACAGAAAGAAGAGGTCACCTCAGAGAGCAAAACATTGATAGTTTAAAAAAAAAAAAAAAAGAAGTTGGCAGTGTTTATCCAGTACTATGTACTCGAGGAAATGATGAAATTTCCTGTTACTGGAGCAATATACTCTATAACAAGGCAATCATCAGACCATACCACAGCCCTGACGAAAGATATCTCAAAACCAAAAATCTCCCTGATTGCTCTGATTCCGTGAGGCCTTCTTTGATTACTAATTTAGCAGAAGGGGAGGCGCTGAACAAGAGATATAAGCCCTCTAGGGGGAGGCGAAAGAGGTAAAGGGGCACATATGTATGTTGATGGATAAAACCCAGACTATTGTGGTGAACACGATGCAGTCTATACAAAACTGATATACGTTAATGTACACAATGTACATTAATACGTAATGTACACAATACGTAAATTACACAATGTTATAAGCCAATATGACCTCAATAAAATACTTTAAAAAAAAGAGAGATGTGAGCCTTCTAATCATTAGAAAGACTCTCCCTTTTGTTTAAATACATCAGTCTCTTGAATCTTAAATGAGGTGAATCAGCCTCCCCAAATCTGAGTGCAGTTCTGGGTGCAGCAAGACTCTGGGTCATAGGAAATTCACAAAGATTATGCTGTGCTCTTGAAGAGAACCATCAAACCATTTCCTGCATTCCCTGGGTCATCAGCCCTCACTTTTGTGTGTGTGTGTGTGAGGAAGATCAGCCCTGAGCTAACATCCATGCTAATCCTCCTCTTTTTGCTGAGGAAGACCGGCTCTGAGCTAACATCTATTGCCAATCCTCCTCCTTTTTTCTCCCCAAAGCCCCAGTAGATAATTGTATGCCATAGTTGCACATCCCTCTAGTTGCTGTATGTGGGACGCAGCCTCAGCATGGCCAGAGAAGCGGTGCGTCGGCGCACACCCGGGATCCGAACCCAGGCCGCCAGCAGCCCTCGTTTTTAAAATGCAGCAGCTTTGAATAACTCGTCTTCAATAAGAGGTCACTTCCTAGAAATACAGTTTCTCATTGGTGGGACCTCATTTGAATACAGCATTTAATGGAGCCCAAGAATTGTCAAACACCACTATGAATATTCCATGCTGGACTAAAGGACTCAGAATATACAGTGATACCACTTAAGTAATTTGTGCCGTCTTATCTTTAAAGTACTAGCTACTGTTAGGAGTAGAATGACTGGAAACAAATCCAAGCAATTATTGCTGGCTATAGGCAGTGGCTGGGGACAAGGCAAGAGGGAGAATACAAAGGAGGAGATACTGCCTCTGCAAGTTGATGCTAAAGATTTTAGTATGTTAAATTATGTTTCCCCACATCCTGTCTTATATGACCAAAGCAAAAGAGAGTGTCGCTGTTCTGCTCTCTAGCAATCCCCCACTGCACACACACACACACACACACACACACACACACACTCTACATCCCACAGGCTGCCCTTTGGCAACTCAATTCCCATTCAAGGCTGCATCCTGGATGCTGTTCCATCTGATTTCACTTGTACAAAATGTACCACTATGTGATTTTTCCCAGGGCTGGCCCTACTTTCATTCATTCATTCATACATTCACTCAACTAATGCATGTTGATACCCATTCTGTGCCAGGAACTGTGCATACTATGGGATTGGGTTTTCAAAGGATAGGCAAAGAAGGAGGAGTAAATTCTAGGGACAGCACTCTGGCCTGTCAACTCTAATGCTTGGAGGAAGGAAGCAAGCAGCAAGCTGCCCAGCCTCATTCAGTCCCTCCAAATTCCTTACAGACCAGTAGAATTTGGTTTATAGTTTTACTTTTACTGATCAAGCAAAGGGGTGCCCTGTTCTCATTCTCTTTTAAATGTAGATTTGGAACGTGCAGTGACAATAATAATAGTGATAATAGCCTTTTATTTACAAAGCACTTTCATATATATTATCTCATTTGATCCTTGTCATCTTTGAGGTAAATGAGGCAGATATTTTTAGATTGAATCATGTGAAATTGCTATTTCCATAAGTCTAAAACAGTCAAATATTGGCAATTTCAGTCTAATAAACCAATAGTATCCTTTCTTTTTGGATGAGGAAATTGATTTCATACTTTGCCAAAGATGAGATGAAAAGCTATCAGCATAGTGATCATAGTTAATAATACTGTATTGTATATTTGAAAGTTGCTAATAGAGTAGATCTTAAAAGTTCTCATCACAAGAAAAAAAAATTTTGTAGCTGTGTGTGGTGATGGATGTTAACCAGACTTATTGTGG